CCGAGGGAAGCCAAGTTCGACCCCTCGCTGCTGGAGGTGCGGCTGTCGCCCAACTACGTGGTGTGTCGCGACTGCGAGGTGATCAACGACGGGCACTCCATCCAGATCGTCCTGAAGTCGAAGTCAGGTAGGGCGAAACACCGCTTAGGCGGTGCCAGTGAAGTCAGAACGAAGGCCGAAGCTCGTATCGTCGTCTTAAAGGCCCGCTGTAGGCGCGTAACCGAGCGCAGCACCGCTAGCTGCTGCCAGCAGCCGGCTGTTGGGCCCGTCCGGCGTTGCTGTGGCCTGCAGGAGGGCTGCTGCTGCTGTCGGCCGTCGGAAGAGGGCTAAGCTTTGCCACAGGGGCTGGAGGTCTCACCTCCGCGCTGACGGCCCGTCAGGTTGCTTTGGAGGAGCTGCAGCGTTTTCTTTTGTGGTGGTGTCATCTAGTTCGCTGGCATTAACAGTTGTCCACATTCGGAAACGGTCCAGCTTGTCACTCGGATCGCGGGACGCCGCATTACTTTGTAGAGCTGGCAAGTTTTGTCCTTGCTCCAAAGAGCATGGAAGTTCTCCATGCAGTTGAGTGGGCTGTGATTGCTAACTGTAGACTTCAACAGTTTGTTTAGGACAGATACTCCAGTTATGGACACTTACAGTGTTGATAAAGAACAGGTTGCAAATTGGTCCTCACTTCTTAAAGAGTTTTTCAATAGCATTCATCAAAGACGAACTGGAAGCCAATAAAAGAAACAGTTCCAACTCAAATGAAATTGCAGGATCTCTTGACTCAGACCTTTAATCTAGATAACCTATTTTATATGAAGGAGATAACTGTCAGGAAAGTAAGGAGATCCTTTGTGTTTTCCAAACACTGTGGTACTTCTTCCCCTGTGTTTGGAAGGGTTTTTAAGTCATTCTAACCTATGTTAGCTAGTAACAGCCTTTATGGGGCAATTAAACAGCTAAGCATTGCCAAAGCCATTCCAACTTTTGTTTCCTTCTGAGATCCCAGGAGTCTTGGGAGCAAGGAAGTCGGTTCAGTTTTACACAGAATTTTTTGAAACAGAAAGGTTTCAGTTACTTTAATAATTGTTTTCCCTTATACTTCCCTTTCATGCTAGACTCTGTATTGTATTGCAAAACAGAACATTCTTTCCACAGAATTTTGCAGATTTCCAATGGAATAGTAATTTCGTACTTCCAGTCGGTTTTACTACCTTTCTCGGAAGCAGAGCTCTGTTCCCAGGGAACAAGGTTTTCTCTGCAAGATCTGAAAGGTTCTTGAATTCTCTTGCAGAGGAAGTAAGACTGACTGCAAACATAATTGCTTGCATGCCAAAGTGCTAATCATTCCACCCTACCTTTTCCAAGGGAGGTTTGCACCTTAATAGCAATAGTATAAAAATAGGAATAAACCAACACACCTATATGCGTGTGCAAAAGCTTTGGAGGTTTAGAGGAAGGAAAGTACTTCTTTTTAAACTTGAATACAGTGATGCCAGACTGGTGAGTGTTGACATATAAGAAACAATGTGAAATAGAATACAAGTTTATGATTGAGGTATGGCACTAGGATTTAGGAAATCTCAGTGTAGTTTCAGCTGTCCTTGGATTTCGTATTACATAATTTCCTATTCTCCATTTGTTGACTGGGGATAATTTTTCCTTTTTTGGGAGGTTGGGACAACATTTGTTATCCCTTCCTAGAAGAGAAAAGCTATGTTTGACCTAGTATCCTGGCTAATTTTCAGTGACTGCGGAAACTCATGCAGCTTCTCTTCCTCACAGGGGATCTCTGATGACAGGTCCGTTTAAGCCAGGTTATTTTAATGGGAACTGCCGAGCACTAAGTGCTTTTGAAACTCTATCCAATTAATGTGTAAGAGATTGCCTTCTACTGTAATTTTAACAGCCAAAGAAAAACCTCCTGGTAGAAAAAAATAAAATGATTAAGATACATACTAAAAATCAGTTTGTCGTTAGTGATGATTGATTTTCAGAATACACAGTCCATCTGGAATTCCCAAATCCTGCTTGTTATTTAATTGTAAACCTTTTTACAGGCTGCTTCCCGTTTGAGCATCATACATATGTTAGGCATTAGCTGGAAGAAGTGTGACCAAGTGTGTACTGGAACTGTATATTGAAAAACCTTTCAGAGGATACAGAGACTTCTCTTAAGCCAGCGGTGGATTGCACAAAATGGTTTCAGAATCATTTTCTAATAAGGTTCGAAAATTACTGAAAGGCAAAGAAACGTTAAACACTTCATCCACTGACAAAGATCAAAATTTGATGAACAGCAGAACAAAGATAAACGTTCTTCCTACATTGAAATACTTTTATCCTGGGATCTGTGTTGTAATATGAGCCTCAGAAAGAAACTCTTGGAAGCTCGTGCAGGTCCAGAACTACATCACACAGAGAACATTTGTTCTAGTTACATACAGGCAGGCATATGCACTAGGAACAATAATTTAAATCGGAGAAAACAGTCTGTTTTCCTAAAAAAATAACATTAATATAGCTGGATGGTTTCCCTCATGTTCATCAGATTTACGAGTTTTCATTATAGGATATAGGTATAGGTAGAGCGAGCAAAGATAAAAAAGGTTTAACGTGCAAATTTGAATCTGTAACTACCTTTAGGATGATTCATTTTAGAAACCCTGTTGGTTGTTGGTTATGGCATGTCGTTAAGGGAGGATTAGTCTGGATATTTCACTTCTTTTCTGCAGAGTAATTGATGGTGAAAAGACCAATTGACAGTTTTCTTCCAGTTTTTTTATAGCTCTCTATTCTCATTTTTGTGTTTGTACAGTTGCAATATGATTCAATTGCTGAATTGTACTTAGTAGTATTACTCTATGACTTGTGCTCCCAACTAACTATATATATACATATACATATATAGAGTATGTGTATTAAATGACATTAAATGACATTTTATATTACGGAACTGTCATTGCTTAAAGCTATACATTGTGCAATTAAATAATTCTTATCCGTTATTAGGTATTGTAAGAGGTCCATTCAAAGTCTATGATATGGAAACTAGAATTTAATGGATTCCAAGGAAGACGAGAATGCCCTTAAAAATCTAGCTTTGGGTAGAAACCCAGTACTCAGTGATTTCAGCAAGAAGTTACCTACAGCTTGCCAACTGTATTTGGTATTATTTGGTCTGAAGCAGATTAACAAATTCCTGGACAGAATGCTTCTGTTAATTAATTCATAAGTATATTGGGACTCATATAGGTACGATTGCTTGTTTTCGCTGCTTATTTTTATGGTGAAAGGCTATATTAATGCAAAGGAGTTGAGTTACTGTATAGGTTGGTTTCTTTGTCTTGCAATTGTGGACAGATGCTGCTAAGACATTTTCAGTGTTTAAAAACAGCATGGCAGCCTAGAGCTGATTGTAAGTAAGGTATGTTGTTGCTACTGCATGGCAGGATCAGTTGTATCTGCATATGAAGGCATTCTGTATCTCAGAAACCTGACAGGTGGTATATGGCTGAACATCTTTACCTAGCAAAATATTGGCAACCAAAAGTTTCTATCAGTTTCCATGACTCACGGCAAATACAGGTGATAGAGATTAAGCATTTGGACAAGTTGGTGGTAGTTATCAGTTTGACTCAGAACCTCTTCACCATCTGTTTAGAACACAGAGCTACTGTCTTGGTAAGAGTTTTGAACTTATTCACTGCCCTAACTGATCTTTATCAGTGTACCTTTACACCTTTACAATGCTTCTATTTTGTGTTATGACCAGCTGTTCTGCCTCATAAAGCTAAGAAAACACCATAACAGTATTTTCACAGTTGTGTATAACTGCATGAATTTGGATGCCAAAAGTTAAGGTATCAAGGCTGTCCGCTTTTGTCCTCTCTAATACAGTCCCTAGTAAAGAACCTTGCAACAATCTCCCCAGTGTATTTGAAAAAATATATTCAGTGGCTTGTCTGCTTGGAAAGCTAAGTTTGTTACTGTTTGTGTTCTTTTCCAGTGTTAATAGGCGGGCCGTTACCTCGAGGACATGAATTTGAACTACATGATGTTCGATTTCACTGGGGGAGAGAAAACCAGCGTGGTTCTGAACACACAGTTAATTTTAAAGCCTTTCCCATGGAGGTAAGAGTGATGCTGCATTGCATAAGACCTGTTAAACGCACAAGGTTTACAGTCATAGCCTGAATTCCTGGTATTTCAAAAAAGAAGTTCTTTTAGCTCAGCATTTCATTGCTTTATATTTCAACCAAAAAGCTTACTTGCTGAGGTGTGCTTTAGTGCAGGTAAATGAGGATATGCATCTGGAGTAGAATGCCTCCAGCGCTCATCACATTGTGTGATGAATTGGTCATAAGGTTAACTTGCAGAATTATTAACTTCTGTTTTAATAATATTAGTGTTCTAACAAGATCTGCTGTTTCAACACTTCCTGTCACCTTGACTAATAGCTAGAGATGGGGAGAAATAGCCACTAGAAATATTACTGTGCCGAGTAATAACAATTTAGGTAAATTTGGAGTAAGCATATGGTAATTTGCTCATGAAATACTTTCAGTATCTGAAAACTGAAGATTATGTGAGATTCTTAGTTATGTTCTTTCGTATCCCAATGCATTATAATTGATGAGACATGAGCAAAGTGATAATGCAGTCTGAAAACTTTCAGCTGTTCATGGGGTGTCAGCTTGGGCTTCTAGGCAAATGAAATACTAGGACCCATTTTTCCTGCCCTCCAGCAGCCGTTCTTCCTGTTACTTCACTATTCATTGCTTCGTTGCTTACAGTCATCAAGCGGTGGTTTGGAGTACCCCTCAGTCCTTGGGCTTCAGTGGTAGCTGGAACCGATACCCACCCTGATGTTTGGTGACTTCAGTTATGCATCTTTTATTTCATTTGCTGTGCACTGTACCAATTTTAAAGAAACTGTCAAGATTTTTTTTCCAAGTTCTTTGAATTGTTTTTGCCTTGTATGTTTATGATAATCCCTTGGGAGCCTGAAACTCTATTTCCTTTTTATCTGGAATTTGTTATTATAGCATTTTTCACAAGCACCAGACTACTGGAATAGAACAGCTTTATGGAAGAGAATATAAAAAGTATTGGCGCACATACTGCAGAACTAAGCATAAAAAACATGCAGACTTACACCATCGATCTAGTTCATAGAGTTGTTCAGGTACCAGCTTTAAGAGCGGTGGATGAGATCTTGGTCTCCGTTTTTGACTATTTTGCATTAGTCTATCAAAATAAAGCCAATATAAAGCCACTCATACTGGCTTTGCAGGCTGATTTCAGACAGCAAATCCTGGCAGTACAGGAGATTTACTTTAATGCGGAAGACTGACCAAACAAAGTAAAAGCAAAGGAATAGCCTCTGCCTCGGGTTTACCAGAGTGTGGGTTATGTGGGCGGCAGGACCTTCTGTCTCAGGGTGACACTGCAGTAGCCTGGAAGTAATTTGTTCATTATGAAAGCTCAGTGTTTTTCCTCAGGACTGATACAGCATGTAATGATCAAGAAATGTTGATAGGAGCTATGTCAAGCAGTGTGCTTGGGAATCTAGCTGGTTCTGCTCTCTTCTTATTTATTAAGGCTGACTTCACAGACAGTCTTGGTGGTATGTAGGAACAGACTAGTGAACTCTCCAGAAACCCCAGAATTCTCTGCTCCCTTTCAGTCCAGGGAGAAATAAACTTGACCCAGAGATGCAAGTCAACTGACTTAATCAGTCATAAAGGGATTTCATTCTTCACCTACTTCAAAAGCAGCAGGGCAGCTGCACAAACAAAATGCTGGCGCCACTGAAGAATATCATCTCAAGATAAGTGAGCCACTGTTATCCTGCCTCTTGCATCTAAACAACTTTCAGCAAAACTCTGATCCTAAGAAATAATGGTGCAAGAAGTCTGTAGCAAACACAAATACACTTTAAATATGGCATGAATATATAATTTTGCAAACAGATCCTCATGCAGATTAATTCTTCTAGTAGAAAATGGCAGTGTAGTTGTCACTGTTGTATCCAGAGTCAGCTGCACACAGGTGTACTGGCTGGACTGATTCATCATCTTCTGCCCTGTGTTGCATAAAAAGTGCACAGCAGTCTGGCAGATGAGTCTTGCTCCATTCTGCTAGATGCATAAAGAGCTGCTGTATCAAATCTAGCTAAAATTATCCAAATCAAATATTATACTTGAGCAATAGTAAAATAAGTGCTTGTAACCACTGTAAATGTTTATGGAGCAGTACATCTAAGACTCCAGAGTGGAAGATTTTCCATTCCAGGGATTGCCCCACCCAATTGATTTTGCTGAGAAGAATCATTTTGATCAGGGAAATGGGAGGACTATTTTCTTGACTTTAGCATTAGCTTGCACTCCAGTTTGAAATCAACATATTCTGAGCACATACTAGGTTGGGTTTTCACTGGACTGGTAGACACACAAACAGTTATAGAACGCCTGTTTTGGCTATATGCAAGCACTTTGGGGGAATCCTGTACTAAATGCAAAATAAGCAGGCAGATCTAGTGGAGCAGATCTAGGAAGAATTTTTTCTTAAGAAGCCTGAAATGAATTTATAAAGCAAATACAAAGATTTTGAATTCTTCTCCCTTTGTGGAGAAGACAAGCCAAGTGGAAAAACAGTAATATAAGAACAGAAGCACCTGGTTTAACTGAGTGCATTAAGAATACAACGAACTAGGCCCAGATTGTATGTTCTGTTACGTTATTATAAATCCTGAGCAGTTCTACCGAAGCCAATTTAGCAACTTTGAATTTGAACAGATCTATCTGAGGTAACTATTTAGATATGTGTAATTATTGACTGAAGCAGCAATTTGGTTTTAAAACTGAAGGTTTTAAGACTTTATTTTATTACATTGGCCCAGATATTTGCAAAACAGCTTCAGACTATCAGTTTAATGATCTTTGTAAAGGATGACTTTGAAAAAGAGTGCTATTTTTCAAAGTCTGGAAGAGAACTACTTCTTCACTTACTTCCATAGGCTCGTCACCTTTGATACCATAATTGTTTTGATAGGAATTCAGCAATATCCTGTATTAATTAAGCAATATCCTGTGTCTCTTAATGCAGCAATCTGTTATTTCTTACTAGACAGCTGGGGCCTTTGCACATGGTTAGGATACTTAGATTCATGGTGAAATAGGTTAGACTTCTCAGCTTGTGAAACCTCTGGAACAGCTTCTCGAACTAATTTACATTGGAGAAAAGCGTTGTTCATGTGACTCAGAGGCTGATTTCATTGTTATTTTTATTTTTATCTGAAGTTTAGCAAAGACTTGTTTTCCACTTTCCTTGACTGAAGAAATCAGAATGTTGTAAATAATATGTAAGTGTTATCATTTTCACTGAAACATCTGTGCTTGCAATTAGTCAGGAAAGCAGGAGAAAACAGAAAATGGTTATCACAGGTAAATATCGTAGCATGTCTTTTTAAACAAAAATAGAAGTAGCATGCTGTACCTACTGGTACAATACTCTTCTCTTTGTGCCATGAAAATAAAAAAACACAAATGGCGTTCTTACCTTTTGGCCAGAAATTGGAAGGAGACATTTGTGCAACCTTCTCCAGGAATCATTCTCGGCAAGTACTTTTACTGTGCATAAGTAGTGTTACTTTGCCCTTTGGCTACCGCTTGTGTTAAGTTTTTAATAATGGTCTTAACAATGAAAGATTGTTTCTTGCCAACAAACGGAACAAGGTACCAAAGGTTAGACTGCACTTTACAATACACATTTACACAGAGCAGTAAAACCTGCGCTTATAGCCATGTATGGGTTACCTCAAACTGATTCAGGTGTAAAAAAAGAGGACTTTTCCACATCTTTATTCCTCGACCTCATGCCGCGAGTATGTGTTGGAGGAAGGAAGAAATGAACTGATAAAGCTGAGGCTTTCTACCTCATCTTTGCCGTATAGGCTGAAGATAGAGGGAGACAGAAGTAACAAATTACTTCTCATCTCAGCCATCAAGACATTTATTCCTAACAAGGTTAAAATAGCATCTAAAGGCAGCCAAAAATGCTGCCCCGTTGTACCTGGACGCTGTGTAAACTTAGCATACCATAGTGCCAGGCCCAATCAGCTTAGGGTCTATAAAAGGCAGGACAGACAGCAGGAGAAAGCAAACCATATGATGACATCAGTGCTGTTTTATGATAAGTTTTACTATGTTATTAACTGCTTCTTTAAGTGAAGGCAAACAGAGAGAAAGTTATGCCTTAAAAGCGTCTCCTCCTCTTAGTTACTCACAATGTGGTGTGACTGAAGGCCCAATCTGACCTTATGGAAACAGTTGTTTTCAGGCTGCTGCTCTGGAATAAAACTGTGTCTGGGAAAATAAAACAGTCCTTTTCACTGACTGTAGTGTGACCAGGAGGATAATTCTCTATAATCCACCCTCTTCAAAATGTAGGATCGTATTAGCTCTCAACCACGTGAAAGCTCTCAGTAGAAGAGAATTAGCAGAAAATCATATTAAGAATGTTTATAAGATGAGCAGGAAGATTAAAAACTGTATTATTATCTATCCTGCAGTTTTTGAGTACAACAGAGTAAAACCCAGCTGCCTGAAGGACCAGAATCAGTTCTGTGCTGGAAGAAAGATTTTTCCTTTATATTGTGTAATGAAAAGCAAACTAATTCATTCTGTAGTCTCTTTCAGAGTTGGTGGAATACCTGCTGCAATGTGATTAAAGATTGATGTGATGAAAAGTAAAAAAAAAATACATTTCACACTCCCTCAGTCCATTCTAAACCTTTACGTTTTCCTTTGTTCACATGAAATGATACCTGCCTAAGGATCTCATCAGACAGAGTTTCAGTTGTAGTGCTTCAGTTTAGAACATTACCTTTATACTTCTCTACTCTCAAATCTTTACAGTCTTTGGTTTGGGTATTTCTGAGTGCCCAGATCTGAAATCAGGCAAGAAGGATTTAATTCATAATGACTATAGTTTCCAGTATGTGAGCCTAGTCCTCTGATCTGTAGGATTTTTGCTAGTCACTTTAATGGGACTGTGATCTGAGTCATAAACCTTATAAGATAAGGTTTTGAACCAAGGACTAAATCCTGTTGCCTTGATTGGTTGTATTG